TCCTCCCCAGGTGCAGCACCTTGCACTTGTTTACTTAACTAATAGAACAGATAGAGAGCACTCCAAATGTTTCAACTTGGTTATGACATCCAGTAAATGCTTGCCTTTCTTTTAGTATTACCATTGTGCTTCAAGAATTTTCCATACCCGAATTTTGCCGGAAAATAGCTTGGAATTACATTGTAGAAGGAAGCAAAGTAGTTCTTGAATTAGCAGTGTCAACCTACTCCCCCACTTTAAAGCTTACCGTCAAGTAATATGTTTAGCACAGTTCTTTCCTATATTGTCAGAAAGTCACATTTACCTCCCAGCTGTTCTTTTTCAGAGAGGTTAAACTCAGGCTTCTGACATGGATGTTTCCCACAATGATTTCTAATTCTCACTGATAAAGAGTTCTAAGGAAGATTGGAGCTATAGTCCTGCCTCAGTGGTTGAATAAAGTTGCAGAAATAGATTTCAGCACCCAATCCTGGACCCTGGCATGTAAATAGGGGATAATTCTCAAGATAATTTGTAAGAGCACTGATGTTTAGAGCAGTCATTGTATCATCTTTAAGTATTGTGCAGCATGGTACGAGCTTGATAATCCCATTGAAGACCCAGGGCATTTGAAGGTTTTAGGACCATACAGACCAGCCCCAGAGTGGCTGGCAGGACTGTGTTATACACGGTGCCCACTCCTGATCCAGCGCCCCCCACTCCAGATCAGGGCTGGTCTGTGGGCCTGGTCCAACCTGCATACTACCCCCATGCCACACATCTGGCTCAGTGGGCCAGACGTGTTTGACATCCCTGATTTAGTACATCTACAAAATTTACAATTTCTGATACTTCTTGAGTGCCTATAAGCACTGACCAGTAGGTTTACTTTGTAGGTTTACTTGTTTCATGTACTGTCTTCCTTTTATTCCATCTTTCAAATTGCAACAAGAGTGTCAGGAAAATGCATGAACCATTGTTCTATAGTGAATGCAGCTACTCAGGTTTTTCCAATGGATAGAACATTGAGCATTGAATTCTTCCAAATATAATAAATCTGGTACAGAAGGATTTCTTGTTTTTCCTGATGTCCAGTTCATTAAATTTCTCAGTGAAAATTCAATGTACCACTCTCCTTATTGCTGGTCAGGCCTTAGGTAACTGGGTTCATTTTTGGGTATAGCATTGTACAAAGGACATCAAGAAACTGGAGAGTGACAAGGGATGTAAAAGCAAGGTATATGATGATACCGTGATGGTATATTTAGTTTGAAGAAAAGGAAGCTAGAGGGAGGGGTGTCAAGATAAGTTTACATATATATGAAAGGCTGTTGTAAAGAAGAATTGTTATTCTCCCATTAAACAGAGGGAGAACATATGGCAATGGCTTTAAACTTTAGAAAAGCAGTTTAAGGCCATGTACAGATGTTCAGCTTCTCCTGGGAGAGTTGCTGATCCCAAGGTAAAAACGAGAGCAATCAAGGTGAAATCACTCCTAGGAGAGCCTGTATACACTACCTTCTGAAAGAAGCCACAGCATAGTCCTCCAGTATTTCCAGGGTGCTTTGTTCCTTCCTCCCCCACCCTCAGGAGACTGTGCATCTCTGCTGCTCCAAAGTAGAACATGCTCCCTTCATAATGCTGTATTGTGCTGCAGGGAGAAACAACTTAATCGTGATCAGTCTGGGGCAGGCAGTCAGGGCTGACCTGTGCACTGCTGTCATCTGTTGCTAGGCTGACTTGGGAGTCTGTAGAGCATGCTGAGATATGTGCACAAAAGTCCCCTTAGTGCTCAGTAGGGGTGTGTGAAATGGGCCGTATTCGATTCGGATTTGGATTCAGCCCGAATTGGAGACAGTGGTTCGATCAGTTGATTTGGATCACTGTCCCTGATTCGATTTGGCTGAATCTGAAGATTATCAATTTGATCATAGACACAGCTTTAAATGTTTTTTCTACATACCTTGAGGTACCAGGTGCAGCTCATGAATGCTGTGATGGTGCGTGTATGGAGCATCCCACAGGAGTGCAGGGGGGTGGCCTGCATGCTTGGCAGTGAACCTGGAAGTGGATTGGAAGTACTCCTGGTCCACATCCGGGTCCGCCACCAAGTGTGCTGGCCCCCCCCCACACACACACACACTCAGCTCAGCGATTAGCCACAGGGGGACCCCAGGTGCCCCCCTAGACCCAGGAGGCACCAGTCGCCAAGCAGGGCAGGTGCAGGGGGGCCCCTCGTGTACTCCCCGGTGGACCAGAAGTGGATGGGAAGTGCTTCTTGTCCACTTCTGGGTCTGCTGCTGAGCGTGCTGGGGAGCCCCCTGCGCTCCTGTGGGACACTCCATCTGCCCCACCATCTCGGCATTCACGAGCTGCCTGGTACCTGTAGGTATGTAGAAAAAGCATTTAGAGCTGCGTCTATGTCTGAATCATTGACTCTTTCCGAATCGAATCGGAGGGTTCTGATTCGACTCAGAGAGATGAAAGGGTCTCCTGAGCCGATTCAGAGATTTGGCCACCCAGTTGGGCTGAATCTCTGCTGAATCGAATCAGGGACTGAAGCTTCACACAGCTCTACTGCGCAGCCTCAGCGCTGCAAACTCTTGGTTCTAGAAGAAATCTAAAGGAAAACTTTCTAATTGTAGGACCAGCAAGACAGTTTAAAAGTCTACTTAGGAGTATGGTAAGAACTGCCTTCACAGGAGGTGTTCAAGCAGAGGCTGGAAAGACATATCTGGGATGGTTTAGGAATAGTCAGTTTGGCATTTGAGATTTGACCGTGGGTTAGGTAGACTAGATGACCATTGAGGTCTCTTCCCATTCTATGGTAATATGATTCTAAACTTACTTTGAAAAAGTATAATTTCCATTACAGTATTTCCTTTTTTTGACAGACTATCAAAATTACATCATATTTGAAGAATATTTCTGTGAAGAGATCTAAAGTAAATTCTTCAAAATGCAGTTATTCTATGAAAAGTTGAGCTACAACCCTGGCATTGCAGAGTTCTGTGTGTATATATTTTTCATTGACTTCCAGTTCAGATATACTCTGCTTATAAATTTATAAAAAGTTATACAACATTTCTAACAGGCAGTGTTGTAGAGTCAAGTTCTACTCTCTTTGGTCTAGCCATTATCAAAAGTAGTAATAAAATAAGTAATTTATTTACATCTCTGTTAACAGTTTTGATGGCACACAAGCCAGAGTTGATTTCAGCAAAATCATCTAGTGCTGTTTATTAGAGGTAAAAGCAGTAAGACTATTTTTTTCAGTAAATTAAGTCCCTTCTCCACCCCATTTTAAAGCTGTATAACTATTTCATCTGTCCATGCCCTGTGTTCAGTAAGATGGTATCTGTATACCAGAGGCTCCCTGTTACTTTAAGAGAAAACCAGCAGTAGGAAGACCCCCAGTTGGGATCATCTGCCCATTAAGAGTAGTAGAAGAACAAGTTGCCTGGGTACTTTAGTCTGGGGGTGCTTACGGCAGAGCTTGCTGTTCTGCAGTAGTACAATAGGGCAGTGATTGCTTGGGATAGCAGAGGGCTTACTGCAGATGTAGGTGTCCTACAGCTGTAGTAGGGAGCAGGGCTACAGCTCTCGCCCAGTAGCTATAAGCTGCTGTAGATGTCAGTCCACCAGCCTAAAAGAGAACACCTGTGGTGGCTGGGGGAAAATCACATGACCCAGAAGGGCTGGGCTTAGGCAACATATAAACTCAGGGCTTGAGCCCAAGAGTCAGTCAGACTCTACAGGCTGCCAGGGAAAAAGCAACTCTATGATGACTGTGGCTGAGAGACTACTTGGGCCCCCTGCTGCCCTGCAGACTAAAAATAAGGAACTGAGAGCTTTCAGAAGAGCTAAATGTTGTTGTGCAGCTAGAGTGTTTCTAATTTTAGTTACAACCAGAGGACCCAGTAAGGGACTAGCAGGGAAGATTGGAGGTCGCAGTGATGCCTGAAGGGCACATGTTTGTGGTGAGTCCTGCCAGAGGTCAGGCTCAGTGTGTGAATAGGTATTGACCAGGAAGGGGTTGTTGGAACCTACATTGGAAAAGACCATTGCATGAAAAGGGTGAGAATCAGGATTAGGGGCCAGAGGTCTGAAGCTCAAGAGGGGCGGGGAAAGAGCCAGGGGCCTGCAGTCCTTGAGGGGTGAGGATATGGCCCGAGGGGGTGAAACCAGAGCCCTTGAGTGGGTGAAATCAGAGCCCTAGAGAGGCAAGACCAGGGCTTGCCCAGACTGATAAGGCCGAGACTGAAGTTGGAGCCCAGAAGCCAGGCCTGGCACAGTGGACCTAAGCAAGAAGAGTCCAGGAAAAAGGGTCGAGGTTGGAAAGGCCAAGGTCCCAACAAAGGACATAAAGGCCTAGAGCGGCCTGATATAGGACTTGGACTGAGTGCCTCCTGAAGTGACTAAGTGGTAACACCTGTAGGGGAGGCTGGAGACCACAAATAGCCATTTAAGGTGGTTAGTGTCCTGGAAGGTATAGACAAGCCAGGAGGGCCAGAATTAGCGCCTGAAAGCAGAACTGAGGCAGGTACGGTTCATAAGGAACCTGTAGACCAGAGGAAGATGAATGCTTACTCTGGGACCTGGGACAGCTTCTCCCTTAGTTCCAAATCAGATAATAACAGCAAGACATGGCAGGAGAGAATGAGAAAGGGGTGGGGAGTACCTAGCAAGCCAGAGTAAGGCAGGAGTCTTGAGGTCACCAGTGGCCATCACAGCTGTCCTTGGAACTTGATCCTGCTACAGTATCATTTTTACATAGACACTTCTTTAAATATAACTACACCTTGACATTGTTTCTTTCTCTTATTTTTAAGGAGAAAACTTTTAACTCTGGTCTACGTAACTTTTTTTCTTAAGTTCTTTTTTGACCAACTTGAGTGATCTCCGTTATAATACATGGGTTCCTGATAATGGATATATGAGAATTTGGGGGCTGCCCATTTCTTACTTCCTTTTCGTAGGCTCTAATGCAAACAACTCCTTAAGTTTCGTTTAAAGATGCTATTCATGTAAATCACACATGTAGACATATGCACAAACACGTCCTAAGATCATCACTGTTGTAAGAATTAGAACTGTCTTTGACTTGGGAAGAAGTCTCTAAAGTATCACTTGTGGAAATAAGTTGTTGTAACACAGAAATGTGATTCATTGTGAACACACATCTTGAGTAATCACATAAAATACAAAATGTTGCCTAATCAGATATTAGATGTGTTTTGCCCAGGTGCAGATTAACAGTCAGTTGTATGCCAGATGGCTTTAGGACTTTTGCTGTTAGTGAATTTTGTGAATTATCAAGGTACCTATCCACTTTCTAGTATTGCATACTTTCATTTTTTGGCATGTTCCCTTGGGTGAATTTTAGTCCCCTTTCTCTGGCTTTTCTTCCTTTAAAAACAAACAAAATCTTGTTTTCCCATGGTAGTTTTTGTACACCTAATTATGGAGACATTTTCTCTTAAAATCCCACTTCATTAAACAGGAATTTAATTATTATAGATGAGTATTGATGAATATTTACTTCAATAAGTTATTTTAAAAATTGTATCTCTTATTATCCAAGGTGAGTGAAGCAGGCGTTCACAGGCCTCATGTTGGTGGAATCCATGGACGCAGTAATGATGGAGCTTACTCCCTTGTGCTGGCTGGAGGATTTGAAGATGAAGTGGTATGTCTTTTTATCCAAACCACTCAAGATTTGTTGTAGGAACATGTAGCATTAAGTTCATGGTTGACCCAAAAGTTACTTGTTTATGAAAGTAATGTGAGGATGCAGAACAATCATTAATCCTTAATTGACTGGATATGAATATTTAAAATATCTTTTAGGCTGTATAATTAGCAATGAGAGAGGACAGCTTCATGCTTGCATGTAAATTACTTCAATTGCATCTGGATTTTGGCTTGTTCATAAAAGATAGTGTATGGAGAATGCATATAAAATCTGATGAGCCTGTAACAGTGGGCTTTGGAAATTATGCATTTTACATCCTGTCATGATCATCATTTTTATTGCTTTCAGGTTAAGTAAACTGACTATTGAACAGATAGATACCTTCATTCTTTTGCCCGAACCTTTGGCCATTATAACTATAAAGTTTCTAAAACCACCACAAATTTAATTTGATTACGGCCAGGGTAAAAGCATGGGGCCTGATCCTGTTAAGTGTTTAGGGTCCTTGACCTCTCATCGATTCAGTTGAGAGTCGAAGGTTCTCAGCGTCAACCAGGAAAATCTCTGTACTTTGTATCGCCATGCTGCAAAGAAGGACACCGGTAAATGGTCCACATTGGTGACCTATACTTATCACCATCTAACTAGAGTAATCAAGGCACTTTTAAAGCTGAAATGTAATATAGATCTTGTCTGTCCTTTCTTTTCGTGAACCTGACCAAGATTTGTATGCAAATAGACTACTGTTTTGTGTAATCAAAATAATGTTTACACAGGGTATTCCCTCTCCTGCAGCTCTGTTCTATCAGGCAGAATTGTGAGTCATGCTACAGGTGAACAATAAAGCAGTAAGCAACCTGTTTTTTAAAAACATAGGCAGCTGTTAATTGCAGGGAAAGAGACATTAGACAAGAAAATGAAGCAAACATCCTAAATAGCGTCAGAATATTATGTATTCTTTTCCAACAGCAGTTACCCAGCTGCTGCCGTTGCTGGAGTTTGCCTCCGAAGGCATCAATGTCTCTCTGTTGGAGAAGTCACATAAGGAGGTACTTTGTGTTGGAACATTACTACAGCCCTAGAGTCAACCCCAACCCAAGCCCCAGGGCACATGGCCATGGCACCCTAATGAGTCTGCTGTTCAACAGTTACAGCTGGGTAGCTGGGGCATGCTGCTGCTCCTGTTGTTTTTTGGTAGTGGCATTGATGCTATATTTATTAATCGTGCTGCCTCCTATTCTTGTATTTTTAATAGAGAATAAACATTTGGAGCCTTTGTATGCCCCCTCTCAATCACCAAACTAATGGTGTGGCTAGGTCAGAGGTGGGCAATTGTTTCAGCTGGAGGACACTTAATGAGTTTTGGGGACCTGTTGAAGGCCACATCCATCTCTCCCCCTTTTTCTCTCTTTCTCTGTCTACCTTTTTTTTCTTTTCTCTCCTCTGTCTCCTCTGCTCTCCTCTCTTCTCTGTCTCTCCCTGTCCCCCTTCTCCTCCTGTTCCCCCTCCTTCCAGAACCTGCCAGAGCTGTAGTTCACCGCAGCAGGTGGGCATCATCATGAGCTGTGGATGCTGATGGTAGGTTCAGGAGCCTGGATGCAGAACCTGCCTGCAGCATGCATAGCTGCCGCCACTGACTTGTGGGCACAGTGAAAGCTCCCACGCAGAGCCCTGACCTGGAACCTTCCAGCAGCATCAGCAGTGGACCCAGGAAGGAGCTGCTGCAAGCTGGGCAGGCAACAGCATCAGTTGTGGGCACAGCCAGCAAGTTCCAGAGCCCTGATGCAGAACCTGCCAGTGGTGTCACAGCTGCTGCTGCTGCCTGCCCAGTGCAGTAGAAGCCCTGCCTAGGTCCACAGCTGATGCCTGATGCTGCTGGGCAGAAGCAGTGCCACCCACCCAGTACCCCATGGTGGCTGAAGCTGCTGGCCACCCACAAGCCATATCCAATTGCTTGGTGGCTGTCCATCTGTTGGACGTATTGAATCTGTTGTTGGGCCAGATCTGGCCCCCAAGCTGTATTTTGCTTACCCCTGAGCTAGGTACTACTTCACGTGCTCCAATAAAATCCCAGTCTTGGGTGCTTTATACGTAGGAAGGGTAGAGAGGTAGAGGGGTGAAAGATAAATATTGCATTTGCTGCTCTCCAATGTTTGTGTGCCTTTAAGGTTTTGTGCCTTTAGGCTTAATTCTTGCAGCTCTTTAATGAACAAACCGCCTTGGGAATAGTGCTAGTTTCTCTTTGTTCCCTTTTCCCTATCACAAACCCTGTTTTTATGGATTTCCAGATAACTTGTATATTTCTATTTTATTGGAGGCTGTTGAGGTAGAAATACCTCAAGGAGCGAAAGAAAATCAAACTGCTGTTCAGTGGTTTGCTACCTACCATCATCCCTTTCAGCCAACAAACCATTTTATTAAAAATTGAAATAGAAGTTTGCAGTCCTGTGCCATCTATTTCATTGAACATGAGCAAGAAAAGACACATAATCTTAAAGGAGTCTTAATTATGAAAGTTTAGGTACTTACTTGCATGTATTTGCAGGATTGATTAATGAATGAATGTGAGCCTGAACAACAAGATTCAGCTTGCCAAAATGTATTACAGGAGGCAGTTGACTCTTTGATCGTCAGGTCTTACCTACTTTTAAGATGCGTATGTAAAAAAAATGCCCCATCTAGCAAACGCACATATAAGAGAGTAACTTGGCTTGTATAATCTCACTGAGTTCTCAATGAATAAAGTTAATTGGATCAATACAGCATCATGCTCTAAATTTAGAAAAAATTGCCTTAGTTGACAAGAGGAGGAGGAAACTTCACTTTTGAGGGTAGAAGCATCTAAATTGCTCACGCATTAATTATGCCATTTATGCTTCTGGACTGACCTGTAATTTTCTGAAGAGTAATGTTGATTGTGGTCATTAACTCTTTGCTTCCCTTTGTACGGTATTTTTAGGGTATCAAAGAATATGCCTCCAACTCTGTCTCCATTCCTTAATTACCATGGTGGTTTGGTTGGCATAGTGTGTCTGTGTAGCATGGGTTCATTGGAGATGGTTTACTGTTTTTCACAGATGTGACTGCAGGAACACAGGAGGTACTAGCCAGGAAAGGATGGTACTGTAGTTACCAACCATGGCAAAACAGAGAGAGGCAATAGCTAGTATATGTGTGAGCAGGAAGGATATCTTAGTGGTCATCTCAGTGATGATTTAAAGTAGCAAAGATACCATTCCAGGATTTGGTTGACTCATTTCATTTGGATATTGATTTATGGGTGATGAGCAGAGGTGATGGATTTATGAGTGATGAACTGTATCTTAGGAGGCAAAAAAGCTCATACCAGAAGTGGGGGAGCCATTCTGAACCTTGGTCAGAAATAAGTCTGGCTGGCAAACCATGAAGTTTAAATGTGTAGTTTAGTAAGAATGTGTTCCTTCAGCTGAGAGAGGTATAGTAACTTTGCCTGTGCTGATGAGAATGATTGATAGCTCCAAAATAAGGTCCGTAAAACTCACTTAGTTCTGTAAAGGCCAGGGTTAGATTTGTAAGGTCAGGAAGGGTCCAAACAGTTTGACATATTACAGCATGGCATGCGTGTCTTGACTTGGACAGATAGATCATGCATATGTGGCCGCTAGTAATTGTGAGAAATAAGCAGGTATTTTAAAATGACCGGAATAGACAGCTAGATGGGAGCTGTGAGAATTGTAGTATTTCTAAACAAACTTTGCCTCCAGAGGCATAGACCCATCCCATATGGTAAGTTAACACCTCCTTCTAGATCTGAAGCTCAAGGTTTGGCTGGTTGTCAGCAGTGATCAGGATAGAGATGTTCTGGGTCATGACTGGATCTTGGGGAAAGAAATGAGCAGCAACAGATCACTTGCACTATCCTGTCGGCATATCTGGAGTCTCCTAGGACCACTGACTAAATTTCAAGACCTGGCCCCAAATATTTGTTCTTGTAGAAGAGTGCATCAGCTTTCCTGTTTCTAGCATCTGGCCAGCATATCAGTTTAAAATTTAACCTTGGAAAAAGAGAACATCAGATTTGTCACTGGTTAAGGCTATAAGCAATATGAAGATCTTCCAGATTTTTGGTCTATACATACTGTAACCTGATGCCTTCCAGGTGGTGGCACCATTCTTTGAATATAGTTTTGATGGCCTGAAGCTCCTTATCCCAGATGTCATTTCACTCAGCTCGTGTCAGAACGTGCAGGAATAGACTTGATTTTCAGTGCCTCACTGCTGAGAGAGAGACTCCCGCTCCCCACCAAATGCTTTGACAAAAAGGGATTTGGTGGGATCTGGGTGCATCAGGTTGGGCGCACCAATATATATGATTATTTCAATTCGTTGAAAGCAGATTGTGCCTCTACCAAGCAAAGAAGATAGGTGGTTTACCAGAGGGTTTCCCCTTCAGTGAAAATATTTGTTTGGGGAAATCCCTGATGGAGCATCATTAGAAATGAGTTAACTCAATAAAATATTGGACCTTTTTTGCGTTCCCCGTGCTGCCCAGCCTGTGATACCATATCTTTGTGCTAACCCCCTTAAGGGGTGAACACATCCTAGAATTTTGGTTGACTGCTCCAGTTTTGCATGCAGAACAGCCTCCATTCATTGTATGTCCTGGTTGTTGGTAGTGTGGTTGTCAGAAAATTAATATTGAACTAGCCTAGGTTGTCGATGCAAGATTGCCAAAGTGTTAGAAAGACAAAACGGTGTCAGCAAACATTTAAAGTGGCTGTATTGGGTTCAGAACACCTTCTTGTAGCTGTCCTTAGTTTTTTTACATGCCAGGTTGTAGGTGCTGCAGTATTTCTACTTGGTGAATATTCTGGCAGAACACATTGTCTCTAGCAGAGCAGTCAGTTGATTAATTCTTGCTGAATTTTTTTCACCTTAATTTTAAGAATTCATAGTGCATTTAAAGATGTAATGAACAGGTTTTTTTCTTGACAAAAAGATTGGAGCGTTGGCTA